ATTTTTAAAATAGCAACCATTAAACCTCACAATCTGTCAATTTACAATGGCTTAGTAGTATCACAAAGGTCAGTTCTCCTTATCCATACTGATATAACATGCTTTCAAGGCCTTCATTTATGGAACAAACAATTTCAGAGAAGAGTCATTTAAATTTGTCACATTAGCACTTCTCTTCTAAAAAGGACTAAGTAATTACTGAGTCTAGATGTAACATGAAATTTGAATCCATTTACAATTTAGTTTTAAAATCATGATTGATCAATCATATTGTCAGTTAATAATGTTAGTTGATTAAAGATTAACTTCATAAACCCACAGGAATACAAAGCTGTACACACACAAAAGTATTTTTTATTGACCCACTTATCTTTCTACCTCGTAGAATACAAAGAGCAATAATAATAAAAAGACTCACAATCTACCCATATCACTTTCAGGCAAAGATCATTTCAGATAAACACAAAGAGATATTGACAACGAATGATCAGTAGCTTGACCATTTAGCGAAATGTTCAATCAGACCAATCTTATATGGTTGGCTCAGTCTTAGCATCATTTTGGTTTTAAAATGTCAAAGAAATATGAAATGCGTTTATCGTGACATAACATCATTGCCCTTAAATTCATGAAAATAAAGTGTTTTTCTGTTTGCTGTATTCTGTTAATAGTCTCACTACTTAGTTTCATAAATTTCCAAGAAATCTTCGGACCATTTCATTTCTAAGAAATGTGTACCATATTTGGAAGTGCTACATTACGTTTTTACCCCAATTTATGAATGATTGTTCCTCGTTGTTGTTCTGACCAAGAAATGTATTAATTCATTGGCTGTACACTAAAAAATGCTTAGATATTCAACAGACATCCTCTTTACTATCAGTCATCCCAACCAGTTGTTAGGCAAACCGTACTTTGTGCACACGGCGGGAAGCGTCACTTCCTTCCTGTGTGTGCAAGCTACAACAATGGATTGTTTTCAATCTAAACTTGCACAGTACTAAAGTTAATTCTAAAAGAGTTCCATAAGACACTTATCTATATGTCTTGCAAAATCAGGGTGTATACACATAGGTAGATTTTTATAGAGCATTGAGAGCATTGACCCAACCCATCCAGATCCCATCCAGTGGTTCCCATCACCCTCAACATTTTTAAGACTCTAATGTCATCCGCGGTTGAGTCCATGCAAGCCTGCATCGCGCAGGTGACTAAATCTGTCATGACTTTGATTGATTATCACTTTGATGTGATAATGGAACCTATAGCTGATATATGACAACAATGACTTGCCAACCACTCCCCCTTCCTTCATGTCATGATAACCTAGTATGGTACTCCTCACCATATGATTGACAAGTACCTCTTGCCAATTTAATGTATTCAGCAAGAACATGTGCGGCCGAGGCTAAGAAACATCCACCAGCAGCTAGTGTTGCTCACGAGGACAGTGCTGGCTCTGTTATTTCAGGCACAGCACAGGGCACTCAGAACTATTACATTCAGCAGGGATGAAGTTCCATCTAGAAGATTGTCAACAACACATGACTAGCAGGGAGTGCACAGATCAAGTGGCTTGGGAGATGTTGAGACTGCAGGATTATTTCATCTGGACATCTCCGTCCTGGAGCTCATAGAGCCACTTTATCATCTGCTGCCAAATCTTAGGAGTTCTGTCTCCCCTCCAAACTGCACGGCCAGGATTCGACACCATTCTTCAATAACTTGCCATGGGCGTCTTGCACATCCAAAGTCATTGGCCGGGCAAATGACAATCTCCTCCTCACCAAAATGGATGATAAGTTGATACTGCAGTCTATCAAGTGGTCAACATATACAACACATGGATCTCCTTATTTGGCAACTACTATCCATCAACAGCGACTTTTATAGTCTCCTCAGATTGCCTTCAACTGGGATGAGTGTTCATATTGGAATATGTCAATCACCTAATGACGGAAATAGGCACTGAAACCAATTGGTTTGCCATGGAGGTCCATCATGTCCACTCCATGAGTCATACACAAATCTCCCTTCCAATATGCCACTGACTATGACACTGGGTCAAGTTGGCTTTGCCCACTCCACCTTTGAGAGCATCTTAAGGACACTAGAAGATCTTCTCTCTATGAAGCCAGCACCAACTCACTCAGAAGTGTCGTTTGTGCAAGTTCAATCTTGGATTAATGAGCTCCATGTCATCGACTTTTCCTTGCTCATGCCAAAAACCAGACCATGGCAAGAGGCCCATTAGGTCATTCACAATACTCAATCCCCGTTCCAGGCGGAAGTGTGGAACATCCAAACAGACTTTTATGGCCAGTGTGAGCTCAAAAGTATTACCACGCAGTGACACAAGCTCCTTGTCGTCACAGAAAATATCTGTTTATCTCCTGTGAGCCCTCTGTGGATAAAGACATCTCCAAAGCTACTGTATAATAACATTCACATAAATGTTAATCCCTAATATGGTTCGTCAACACAACTAAGCTTGTTGGGATTGGTCAACTTACCCAAGCCAATGGTGTAACACATATACTTGTTGTTTAGAATACCGGAAGAAGTGTCTACAGACTTGCTTATGGTTTCCTAGGAACGTACTCTGTCCCTGGGAAGTGTCCTTTCTGGAGTGGCTGCAATGCTCCTGAGATTAGAGTATTATCAAACTCGCTAGCTTCTTGGGGATCAGTTTCAGTAGAACAATCGAATTAGTGCGGGTATATCGATCCCATAGTCGAGATATGGTGCTTTGGTGAACGTTGGAGTGTCTTGCAATGGCAGACTGGGACTCCCCTGCTTCCAAACGTCCAATGGCAATATTTCGGTCAGCTGCAGTTAATCTTGGCATTTTCGATCTCTGTTCACGTCAGAAAATTGTAATGAACTGATGAATTTTGTACGATCTTTTATAGTCAGTGTCTCTACTCTTGTTTCCAACACTTTGCACGTGCATTGTGTGGAAACTTTTTCTGAAAGCAATTTCCGTGCATCCTTTGCATTTTTGCTGATCAACGTTTACAAAAAACATTTTGAGATGTGTTTGCGCGCAATGCACAACAAACATGACATGATTAAAGGGAATCAAACATAGGAATTGTCTTTATGACGATTGCTGGGAAAAAAATCGAATTGGAATTCTCAAAACACCTATGCGTTTCTTTGTTTGAAGAGTGTAGAAACTGAAGAGGTGTCATCACAACCAGAAGTAATATCAAACGAACCACAGGTGACGTCATTAAGATGCCAAATATCACAGCATTTACAGTGAATGTATGAAGTTATTATGCATTTTCACGTACATATGTGTCTTATAATCTTTATTATTGTCAGCTATACTGTATTGCCATATGCTAGATCCCACCAATCCCTCTAGAGGTAGGGCATTCAAAGGAGTTATCAAACAAAAGTTATCATTGTGTATAATTTTATTAATACTACCTCTATTACATGAGGATATACTGTTAACAGTCACCCAAACATTTTCTCACAATCTACCCGTGATTCGGTTAATAATTACCCAATAAAATAACTCTAAAGAATTTTTAATGCAACAATCGGAAAAATTGTACCTGTAACTATTGTTTTATGAAGAATAATACATATCAATATTGTGTTATTTTAGTTGCAGCTTTACTATATTTATTTCAAAAAATAATAACCATAAGCTTAGCACTAACTATGGTTCAGCTGATCGCTATCGCCGGATATTTTTTACCTGTGGAATAATATATCAAGTCACCGTTGAAGATCCTGCACTGGGGCTCGCGCTCATTAAAACTCTATGCTGTCATATAACAGTCAAGCTACAACAAATATGACTTTTAAGAAGTCAAAGTATGGCATTTATGATATGTATATCCATTCTCTGTCAATTAAAGTTTTTTTCAAGGCATCATTCTAGCCGTGGCTGCTGTAAATCAAGGCGAGTTGTGCAATCTACCTATAACATCACACACAATTTTGCCAAAACTAATGTAAACAATATTGAATAGAACTTAGAATAAAATAGGGTACAAATATAAGTCCAGATATACAATGAACAGTTTTTGTAACCAGAGAGTGTAATTACATGATTAATGTGCATGCTTCAATACAGTTTTGTTGACATGGTATTTCCAGTTTTACGCGCGCACAGTGTTGTTGTTTTTTTATAAAAAAAACACATCAAAATTCATTATGGCATGTATGATGCGCATCCACTAAGACTGGTAACTCAGGTACCCAGGTCTGCCACATTTAACTTTTTAATTGTTTTTCATCTTGCAGTCCTTATACTTTAGTTTTGCCTATATTATTCACATAATATCAGATAACACATCTAAATGTGCTTCAAGTGAATGGAATCTTCAGATTCAGGTTGTACAATGTCTTTCCACTGTTAATATAAGTGACAATACCCTTTCATAATCATAAGAAATCTGTGCTTAAAGCAGAGTCGGATAGATTTGCAACGGCTTATTGGTTATTTATATACTGTATGACAAGAGGGATAGTCAACTTTCTCTTTATGTAGAGCAAGATTGCAGCAGCTCCAGTCTTTGGTGTCACATTTTACAACTTGAAGAAAAATTGATCATGCTCTTTCGGCAAAGATTTCAAAGGGCATCATATGAAGGCCCAAAATTTGTTTGATCAAGGTTACAACATTCAAGGCCTTAGTAAAGCTTTCAAAAAGTTATATGGTAGACATGTGGAGGACATTTCCAAACTTGACATATCAGTGACAAGAATGATGCCTGATACAATTTACCTACTTTTGACTTGTACCATATGTTCCAGGGGTTTTTTCAGGCGAAAAGTTTACTTGCTTTTGCATGTGTTTGTGATGGGTGCCACCAGTGGGGCAGGATACACTCCTCTTTCGTTAACACATAGTATCATCACTATTTGAAAGTGATTCCTAAACAAAATACAAAATACAATATACAATATACAATACAATATACTTATACAATAGTTTTATTTTAAATCATGAATTTATGTTATAACTGTTTCCTTACACCTGAAACTGATTGCTGCTGGTGATATTCTGTCAACATCAGCATGTGCCATATAGCCAGCTATATCTCTTGCTGTGTCTTTCATCTGGAGAGCTGCAGGCAACACTTCAGTCATACATCCTGTACTGATCCTGTGAAGCTTCTCTGCATGTGGTTTGATCACAAGTTTGGTATCAGGAGGCTCATTGGTGAACTCTGTATGAGGGGGACTTCCACTCTCTACATCATTCAGACACCTTCAACATAAAAAGTCAAGACTGATTGGAGAATTTGTTAACTAGAATCAAGATCCGCAGACTGATACTCATCTGTAGGAGATTGACATAAAATATAAAATGTGATCAATGTGTAAATGTTTGGTTAATTCATTTTAATCAGATAATGTGAGTGCATTCACTGTTTATGAAATTATATGTAAACCAATATCAACTATACCTATCAATTGTAACAATTAACGAATAATCGATTCAGGTTTACTGCTGTGTAATGTGCACAGGACATGTTATCCCAAATATGAAATGTCATGTTTTGATCCTCTTTTAGGAAAAATTACCCAATCTGAAAAAAACAACTCAATTATGTCTTCTATTAGCACAAGTTGCATTGGTCAGTATATGCTCTGATTATATAAAGGTAACCAACTAAACATTTTCAGATCAAGATCAAAGGTTTAACTATCTTTTGAATTTGAAGGTGTGCTAACTAATGAACACACATAAAAAAGGAATGCTATTGTAATCCCCTTTTACTATTATAATATACTTTTTACTTTACACTTTTGTTTTATGGTGCCTTCATTTCTTAGAATAACCTCTCAGCAGTGAGTTTCTTCAGAATATATATATTCTATAGATATTCTACAAATTGTCCCTTGCTGAATACAAAATGTCTTCTACATCTTTGCCTAAATACTGTAATTCTTGCAAATCCCCTACCTCTATTACATCTTTGCCATAAATCCTGTATTTTGGCTTCAGTCACACGAACTAAATTTTCAGATTTTCAACAGACATCCTCTTCACTGTCAATTATACACACAATTAGTTGTTCCCAATATAGCAACCCAAACTATAACGTGCGTAATGATGGGAAACTTCTTTCCTGTGTGTGCTGGAGTCAACACCTATTGTTATAGCTGTAACGATCTAGCACTTGGTAGTAATCACATTAATCTAAAATTGTTCTATAATTTTCTTAAAACAGACATGTTAAGTCAATATCAATAGCTGCTTATTGTAGTGACGAGCGTACTCAGTAAGTATAAATCTAGTGTGAGGTGTTTGTGAGGTCGTCATGGAGTCTCCGTCTCCCCCTAAATGTGGCCATTTTATGATCACGGGAGATCCTCATAACAACTGCTGGAACTGCAGAGAGGCCAAATGCACGGAAAAGGCAAGATGCGACAAGTGCTCTACTCTATCTAAGAAGACCTTCACCAAGTTAGATGAAGCCATAATTATAGCTAGAAGACGAAAAGCAGCTAAGAAAGTCGACGTCATTGCGGCAACTGACATTGACTTAGCCTCTGTCTCTGACTCTGTCTCTGTCTCAGCACCTCTACCACCTACTCTGGCAAATGAATCATCTCTTGCGTTCTCTATGAACTTGATAGAACAACTCTTCAAACTTTATAATAAAAGGAGATGATGGAGTCGATGTTTGAGTCATGCTTCTCAGCTACATGGAGATCCTTAAGAAAAAGCAGACAGTATTGGCTCAGAAGAGTCCTCTGGCCAAGAGGCTGCATGGGGTACAGCCATCTGTTCAGGCCACAGCCACACCAGTACGACATACACCAGACGATTATACCGACTAGCCGAGTAGAAGCTCTCAAGCTTTACCCTCTCGTGAAACATGGGCATCTAGCTGTCTGCTTGGGTCCCGTCAAGGTACCGCAAGGCCCCAGCTCAGACACTGTACGGTCATGTACGGTCACGGTCTGGACTCCACGGTAACCCAGCAGACCGTTACGGGAGTGTCACTTCAACCGCATGGTCGCCATCAGCTGATGGTACCCATGCCAACCCCTCGGATTGCATAGGACCGTCCAACTGACCGAGATGAAGATTACATCATGGGACTGTCTAGCGGTTTGATGGAGGACCATAATTCCCATACGGGTTCCGTTATGCACGGGCAGTCATCATAAGCTGCACGGACCTTACTCATAGTGGAATCCTGGACACCAGCCGGAATACGGAGGATGTCAAGCTCCTACATCATTTCAACATATCCACCAGACATTGCAGTGGCCAGATTATGCAGGCAAGGTGGTAGATCAGGCTTCTGAAAATCTACTCAAGCTCATGATGATCGGCTACCCTTACCTCTATTGAAGCGGAAGTTGTATAAAACACATGATGCTCCACTTCGGGATCATCAAGTTTCGGACGAAGACTTTATGAAGCTAGTACACAACCCTAATACTAAAGTCACGTTACCTGTTTCCCGGATCAAAGACTTGTCAATGGCGTCCAGACATTCAATGGACATTGGCGCATATATCAACTGGTTTGTTGCCAGAATCAGGCACATCATTCCACCATTGCAGACATCATATGACGGCATATCAAGAGAGACTCCTATGAATATTAGGATGGATCAGGTCGGACTGATCCACAGCCTGCTAGACACCATGGTCAGAATGCAGGAAGACTTACTCTCCACCCAGGTCTGGATGTCTTCACAGCTACTTTGGGTTCAGCATCAACAACTACTAGCACAGATTTGTCCAAGAGCTGTTTCCTACCAAACAAAGGAGTTAATAATGTCACAAACAACATCTGTTCCCAAGATATTTAACAGCAAATATGGACATGTCATAGACGAGGTCAGACAAGACACAACTGAACGATTCCAAGTATCAACCATCAACCTAGCTGTCAAGGCACATGGATCTTCCTATCCCCCAATCACAAGGACTCGTCATATAAACAGCCACCCTCCAGAAAGGATTTGTTCCAACTGAGTCAGGGGTATGACAATCACCAGTCTTCACAGGATTCGTTTCGTCAGAAATGAGGATCCTATCGCCAGGGCAGATCCAGGACCAGAGGGGAACGCAGGTCCTGACTTCCTCGCCACCTATTCCCCCGTTATAGATCCTTTCGAACTGGTTATGTCTATGAACTGCGATTTACACCTACCGTCTTTCAACATAATGCCGACTCCGGGGCCAGTGGGAGGACGTCTTCTGTCATACGCTGAAAATTGGATTGTATTGTATTGTTTGTTGTTTAATGCCACACTCAGCAACATTCCAGCTATATGACTGCAGTCTGTAAATAATCGAGTCTGGACCAGACAATCCAGTGATTGATATCATGAGCATTGATCCACACAATTGGGAAACAATGACATGCATCAACCAAGTCAGCGAGTCTGATCACCTGATCCCGTTAGTCACTTCTTACAACAAGCATAGTTGCTTTTTACAGCAAGAATGGGTTGCTGCAGACCTATTCTGACCTGGATCTTCACTGGTCCTAGACGTCGTGGCTCATGGTTACAAACTGCATTTCAAGAGGCATCCCATCCTGAAATCTCAAGCTGTTTGACACAGATTTCGTCTAGTCAGAGCAAAGCTAGCAGCAGCAGATCTGGCCGTCAGGAAGCTACTAAAGAAGTGAGCCATTCGGAAACTATCAGAGACCAACAAGACCAAAGGCTTTTATTCTCTGTTAATCTTAGTTCAGAAAAAGAATTCGCCTGACATGTGAAGGATAATAGACTTAAAGATCCTCAACAAAAAATGCCTGATACCTCCTCCAAAGGTCCAGATTGAATCCAGACGTTTCAGTCGACTTTGAGGACAGGAGATTTGCTCATCAGCCTCAAACTACAAGACGCCTATCTTCACATGTCCCGATACACCCATCATCAAGATAGTACCTGCACTTCTTAATTAATGGTCGACGTTATGAGTTCCAGGTCTTACCATTTTGGACCTTGGCTGTTTGCCAGGATTACAGCGCCAGTCATCAGGTTTGCCCACCTCCAGCAAGTACGAATCCATGGGTACCTGGACGATATCCTGGCAGCAGACCAAGAAGAAGCCAGAACATGCTTTTTCTGGTCCAGCTTATGACCTACCTAGGCTTCCTAGTCAATCCTTCCATCACGAGACCACTCAGGTTCAAGACATCAGAGCGCATTTCCAACTACACAAGGGATATCTATGGCCACCAGAGGATCGATTCGTTAAGACTATTACGATGATTCAATCCCTATCAAGTCAACCCAGCAGGTCTCTAAGGTGGTAGATGTCTCTTCTAGGCAACCTAATGTCTCACAGGATATGAGGAAGGTTGCCCCTGGATAAAGCCACCTTACTCCAAAAATCCAGTAAAGCATCCTTCCTCCTAACCATGGCGACAGCAGCAAGAGTTTCAGAACTCCATGCTATGGACTACTCTAGTCTCACCCATGATCAACATTGGACTTCAATTACTCTAAGATCACTCCCAGTTTTGTGGCCAAAAATCAGTTTACCACCATAGATACTATACCGTTCCTGCCTTGGGGTCAACAGTGGATCATCCAGACAGACTGTTATGTCCCATCAGAGCTCTCAAATTCTACCTCTCGGCTACAGATCCTCATAGACGCCATCGAAGGAGACTATTCATATCCTGCAAGCCTCGTTCCAACAAGCTTGTTTAAGTCTACCTCTGCAGCAAGTTATACGCAGGAACAGAATTCCATTCCTCGTCTTGGATCCTACTCGGCTCACAAAATCAGAGCCCTAGGCACAAGTCTCAATTCTGCTTGACATCCGTTTTGGTGGAACAAGTGGTGTCTAGCTGTCAGTGGGCCTCACAAAACACTTTCACCAGTTATTACTTGTGTGACGTCCGCACCGGAAATAGCAATACAAGGTCTATCTAATCAGGAAATGATGTCTTTTGGTAGAAATAGACCATAACAGATGTCATTATCCAATAAAAGGAAGTGACAAACTGGAAGTGACGTCAGCATCCGAAATAGTGTCACAAATCCATTTTTAACAAGAAATGGCATCATTTGGTAGAAATAGACCAAAAGTGACATCATTATTACCAACAAAACAGCAAATATAATGGTAAATCTAGTGAAGGTATCACATATTTGACTGATTCTTGATGCATTCTATTTTTCAAGTCCTCGGGAGAAATTTCAGAGAAAACTATCTCGAGTATTACTGTCAATTACACAGGGAGTTACTTGAGGCAGATCCTGCTTGGTCCCTCTGGTATAT